TTTGGAGATTTTGGAGAGAAAGGCTCCAGTGTGAAAAGATGTAAAGAAAAAGTCATTATTTTCCCCTCTGACATATACTGTACATTTCAAAAGAAATAAAGTTAAAAGATATTTGAAGATTGCAGGGGCAAAAGAAAACTTACCAGGGCTCAGCACTTAAGCACTTTTCCCACATCCAGGGTCAAAGCAACAGTGATTCCTACATGGACTTCTAAGTGCAGTATGAAATGCAACATTATGCTTACACACAGTACTGTCCAACCTCAAATGCTTTCTTTTCTTCGATGCTTTTCCTGTACATGTTATGAGTAGACACTTTTCTCTTTATATTTGCTGTTAGTGAAAGTCATGCGCAATAAAAAATGGATGGTTGAAAGCGGTGGTCACTAATTGGTTAGAAGTCGTATAAAATGTAAACAGATTCATTATATCTTTCTCCTTTTTGCTTTTTTATGTACTCCTACTGTGTTGAATGACTCATAAATAGAAAGAAAACTGACCTAGAAATTTTTAAAAACTAGTAGTATTTCTCCTTATAAATGTATAAAAAATCTAACCTTTTACAAATTTATTTCACTGTACCTATGTACTTATTGTAGATTGAATGATGCAGTTCAGTAGTAACCCAAGGACTCATGAGCTTGGGGTTGTTGACCTACTTTCTTCATGTTCAGTTCACATTGGTATTTGTGAATTGGTTGTTTAGCTTTTCATTCAACCAAAAATGATTTCTTCAAGAAAGCTCCATTTTTATCATAAATATTTCAACGTACCTAACCTTGGAACAGGTCTGCCATGTTAAAAAGAATTTAAAGACTTATCTCTGAAAATGTTACCCAGAAATGCAGGTGCTCCCAGTAATGCAGCTCCAAAAATAAAATGTTCTCTTTGTATGGCATGAAATTCATGACTTTTGGAAGGGTATTTTTGAGACACAGAAAGACAGTTTCTGTGCTGTAAAATGATCCACCCAAATTAAGCATATTTCACAGAAACACAATTATTGGATCTATTCTACTCATTAACATTTTCAAAACAAAATGCATATTGTAATATTAGGTACATGACACTTGCATGTTGATATGCCTATATCCTTACAAAGTATTCAATGTGTACTTAGTGGCTCTTAAAATATGTCATGTACTACTCTTATAAACATCCTTACAGGGTTCTCATTTGCACTTCATCTTTCAGTAAAGTCTTGTCAGAAAAA